AAGGTTGATAAGAGAGCGGCGATGGGTTCTTGCAGTCATTGCCTGTTGGGCAAGCAACATAGAGTCTCATTCAATACAAGTTCAACAAAGAGATCAGAGTTGTTAAGCTTGGTACACTCTGATGTTTGCGGTCCCATGGAGGTTGAATCACTGGGTGGAAGCAGATATTTTCTGACTTTCATTGATGATGCTTCTCGAAAGGTGTGGGTATATTTCCTGAATACGAAGGACCAGGTGTTTGAGTACTTCAAGTCATTTCACGTCATGGTGGAACGTGAAACAGAAAAGAAGCTGAAATGTCTTCGATCTGATAATGGAGGCGAGTATACTTCCAAAGAGTTTGATGCATATTGCAGGACATATGGCATTCGACATGAGAAGTCAGTACCACGTACCCCTCAGCACAACGGTGTTGCTGAAAGAATGAATCGGACTATCATGGAGCGTGTCCGAAGCATGATGAATATGGCTAGATTACCAAAGCCATTTTGGGGAGAAGCTGTCAAGACCGCATGTTATCTGATCAACCGATCACCTTCAGTTCCATTAAATTTTGAAGTTCCAGAGAGAATATGGACTGGTAAGGATCCGACATACTCACATCTCAAAGTATTTGGTTGTGTAGCATATGCACATGTATCCAAAGAGCTCAGGAATAAGCTCGATGCGAGGTCCATCCCATGCATTTTCATTGGTTATGGAGATGAAGAGTTTGGATACATATTTTGGGATCCAAAGGAGAAAAAGGTGATCAGAAGTAGGGACATTGTGTTCCAAGAAAATTTGACAATAGAAGATATCGAAAAGCCCAAGATGTCTCAGAAGTCAAATGTGGGTGCTCAAGTTTCAGATGAAGCACCAGAATTGATCCGGAGAAACAATGAAGATGATGTACTAGAAGAAGATGAAAAGACAGAAGAGAGTGCAGAGCAAGGGGAGCAACAACCCACCTCGCCAGAGCAAGGAGAGCCACAACCCATTTTGCCAGACACCAATGTTGGAAGTTCTTCTCAGATGGTTCTACCTACTCGTAGATCTGAACGAGGTCATATACCATCAAAAAGGTAC